TCGAGCCTAGGATATACATTCCCCGGTGCCGCGGACGCACTGTCCGACATCGCACCGCATGCGCGGGACGAAATTTGGCTCTGCCCGTGTTCGCTGTCAGAACTAGCGAGACTTGATGGTTTTGCATGTTGTGGACACAGGGCTCATTGAGCAAAGAAGTTGTTAAACTCCAACAAATTGAGTTGCAGTGTCTAACGGACACGCGAGCCTTGTTGAGGCAATAATTGAGTGGAACTGTAAATGTTCTCAATCTTAATGGCGGAGGGTGTAACGGGGTTACACGAACCCTAATAACTGGGGTGTGAGTGTCACACGAGATGTGCATAACGTTTATACACACCCAAACAAGAATACGGTACGGGGCTAGGTAGCTAGTAGTTATGCATGTATTTAGATTTTGCTACATGTAATTATTTTGGAAAGTCTACACTCTTAAAATTAGGATAAAAATATAAGTAAAAATAAGTTTTGGTTTTGAACAGAAGTGTTCGTTTGCCTTGGTTAAGGCTTTTTCATTTTTAGAGGCAGCGGATTGCGATCCGCTGTACTAGTACTTTGTTCTTGTAAAGAACGAAAGGTCAGTGACCTAAAGACGCTTCCTCAAGCGCAAAGCTACGGCAGCCCCGCGGCACCATACTTAGGATAAGGTCATACCTTAAAACCAAGTCTAAGACTTAAACGTTGTTTTGTCTGCGGAGACATTCGTCACCTTCGAACTTGTGAAGGCTCATAAAGGTTTAAACAGACGTTCCGCTTCTAACCAATCTGAATTTTCACGGAGAAACGGCAAGCCCAGGAGCAATATAGGAAGCACGTAAATACTTTTTGGCTCGCGCATTTAATTTAATACATTTATCACTTTGTAAACAAAACAGCCAACCCATAATTCGCCTGGTTTGTTGGTAATGTGTCAGAGATAGCGAGGAGTCTCTTTTTCGACCTCGCAAGCTGGCGTCACGTTTCTTCTTCACCCCTAACGAAAAAGCGAGACATATCTCGTTTTTATTTTCTTACTTTTCATGCTTGAAACGTCGCACCTGTTAAAACTCTTCATAAAATTATTGTTCTTTACACTGGTTGCGATGATACAACTTCGACGCTGCTAATTGCATCATTGGGATACAGCAAGGTAGTGTCTATCCCGCTTCCTGCTACAATATAAAAATTGCCCACATACAAAAATGAAGTTAGATCTGTATAGTGGCGGCTATTTAAAAAGATTTTTAGCATTACAACATTTAAATCAGTGATGATAAAACAAACGTAATTAGCCATTCATAAAATCAATCACCAATACAAGCATCTGACTTAAAGCTATGCTAACTCATAATCAAGTCAGCCAATGCCTTAAATACCAAAGTCTCACGTACAACGCGCTTAATTTGGCGTTTACATCTCCTCCATCAAAGCATTAAGCACCACTTGAACGTTGCCATTGCACTGCTCCAGACGATCAATGACAATGCTTGCTTCGACGCCAGGAAAAATGTCATAAACCATTGCAAGCTCGGCCGACCACTTCACCTCCTCCTCCGTTTCGACAGAAGGAGTAGGGGTCTCATCCACAATAGTAGTCTCGACGGAAGACACAAGTGCCTGATCCTGATCTGTCACTTGTTCCCATTCACTGTCGCATGTAGTAGCCAATGGAATCTCTTCAGAGACCTCAGCCGGCTCTTCAACATCAGCTTCATTTTGCTGATGCACCTCTGGAGAGATATCGACATCGTGGGCGGTGGGAGTTTTCATCTTCTTGATTTCTACCACTACTTCCTTAGCAAACTCAGTTATACCCTCAGCAGCACATTTGATCCCCTCAGTCGTCTCCTTCACGAGCTGATCGAACGGAATCTCTTGAAGGCTTTGATGCGCGGCATTTAAAGACTTGCGAGCATCATGTGCAACAGTTTTGATTGCCTCATTTGTTTGATTAATCCCAGTATTCGCCGTCTGCTGAACTTTTTCAGCCCATGGCTCGCGTTTGACATGCTCTAAAGCTGTGTTCAAAGTCTCAACAAGTTTCTCAATGGCTTTTAAAATTGGGTCAGCGACATTTTCTTGAAAAGCCAAAGCCGAGCGGTTGACAGCCTCAAACCGAAGTGATTTGGCGCCACCAACGCCGCTCAAAAAGACGCGACAAGCCTCCTCATACTCGGCTTCCGACGTAACGTTAAGGCAATCGCCCTCGGCGTCCGTATACTGAACTATGAAGCTGCCAACAGGAAGGCTAAACGTCTCAGCAAAAAGTGCATTGAGTGCCCCCAGCGAGAATGTAGACAGATCTACGCGCAAGCGGTGAAGCTCACCCTTGTAATTGATCTTCAGCGCAGTTTGTTTGGCGTCCATGGATGTTAAAGAATGTCGAAAATAGTTTTTGTCGTGAACTCAACGTTGCTAATCGGGAAATGGAAGGGAATAAAGGAGAAAAACGAGAAAAAACCCTTTCCAATCTGGTTTTGTTCTTTGACGTCTGCTCGTCTCCGAATCTAAACCAATCAGAATGCAGCATGCGAAGAAGGGTGGACCTGGCTTGGTACAATGTACCAGTGCGTGCTTGTTAACGTGGATAGAGAAATGCAAACAGATGTATGATGGTGTTCATGAAATTCGAACTAAAACACAGCTGTACCATGATTGAGAATAGTTGTAACACATTTGAGCAAACATCATTGAAGTATTGTTTTTGTGGTCCACATGCCGTATTTTAATATTTATTTCAGCCAATCTTCACGCGTCGTGTTTCTTATTAACTTCTCTTACGCGAGTCCCCTCGCTTATGTCGTCGGCACCACCGTCCACCACTTCTTCCAGTGACTGCATATCGCCACGAGTGAGCCGCATGAGCTCCTCATCGGGTTCTCTCACCACGCAATTGCTCCAGGGATATCGCACTGTGTCATTGCCTGGATTGTTTCCCGGTACGCACTTAGGCATTTTGGCTTCGGGACTGTTAGATAAGCGCCGCGATGGCGCTGTGCGCGGTGGCTGGGCAAAACGTATTTTTATCTTATCTACACGAAGTTTACATTATTATCGAAAAGTGGAGGAGCATGAGCTTTTTGGAAAGGAGCGCGGTCAAGTGCTGCTATCGGATATCGGTTACTCTAAAGTTGTCATGCCCGAAGACGCCCCATCAGGGGCTGAAGAATCTGGTCACTCTTCGTTTTTTGTTGCAGTTCTATCGGTACGAAAATTTAGTCAATCGTACACAAGGTGTTGTCTATGAGAGTTCTAAGTCTCCTTTGCGAATCAAAGCAGAAACGAAAAACGCTGTTGCTGTTTCTTCGCGCCGACTCGCTTGAATATGCATCCAGCTGGACAAGTATTATCAATAATGCAGTCCACACTGGCAAAAGTGTACATTTCGCACCTCGATGGACCGTGGAGACCATGCAATCATTTATTTCAGTGGCGTCGGGGTAAGTTGGTGGGGTTGTTGAGATCAAAACTGAGGCTAAGGGAACATGAGTATGGTGTTACATTACGTGGTCATAGCAACTTTGCAGACGCAGCGGTACATAAGGTGACTGAAATACCGATCGACGTGGCAGCAGCACCGACCATGACGGTAGGAACGTTGTGATATCACTTGAGCATTTTAGCTAGGTATGATTTCCGTAACAATATTGTAATTGTTGCCAGCGTCCAGCTCCAAAAGTACTGGTTGTAAGTGTTGTCTCTGGATCCTTAAACGGTCCGAATATATCCGAAAAAGTGGTCAAGCGCAATGTGGAGATTGAAGTGGAATTCTTGCTTGGCTCGTTTGGGCAAAAAGACACATGTGTTGTAACATTAAGTGACGGCGAAGAGGTGTACATATCTCGGCGCATGCTGGGGAACGATCTTCAGAGTCTGCTCACGAGCCCGAAACAGATCGAGCTGACAACACCAACTCGCAGCCAACCACTCCGACCTCACATCGTGTCGATTTCTAAAGTTTTCGGTAATTGGTGGCCCATTTTTCTCAATTCACTCTTTTAATCGTTTGCCTTCTTCTTTGTCGCATAGTTTCCTTCCGATGTATTGTAGCTCCACCTGTACAGATGCCTAGAAGAGATTCTGGTCCTCAGCCTGTGATACCTTCACTGCCCTCAACGTTTACAGTGGCATTTCCCGGCACACTTGGCGGCTTATTTCTTCTGAGCTGTTTGATCTCGCTTTACTGCGCGATACCGTTTGTTGGTCTGATGAAGATTACAATGGTACTCGGAATGATTCTTTCGGTGTCTCAAATAACACAATTTGTATTCTGGTACGTTTAATCCTTGATTCGCTAGTACCACAAATTCGCTTCAATAATCATTAAATGTTCTGGCTGTGTAGTCTAACAGAAACGCAAAGTCGGATGCGATCAGGCTCCGTATTGACTCCCGTTCGAGGACCAAAAAAATCCATAGTTAAAGCAGAGAATGATCTTATGGTTTATTTTACCGTTGACAAAATTGAGGTGGTTGAAGCCGATCAAGAAACAGAACCAGTCTTGTCTGATAAGACATACCTTGAATCTGAAGCAAGTAACGACGCTGAATGCAGTTCGATCAGCGGCGGTCCGATTGCTTTCTCACCACGATTTATTGCAGGTGAAAAGGGTGATGAAGAGAAAGGTCGCGCGAGATATTTGGCTACATTGAAATGGCGCAAAGAAAACAACATAGACAATATTTTGGTGACGCCACACCCGAATTTTGAGATTATTAAACGTAGCTATCCGCAATACTTTCACGGCAGGACTCGTGATGGACATCCTGTATATTACGAGCGACCCGGCAAAATTGATTTGCCAGCACTTAAGCGAGAGGGGCTTTCCATTGATGACCTACTGCGTCACTATATGTACATTACTGAGTATCTTTGGCGAGTGGTAGAGCCTAACGATTTGGGTCGGTCGATCACGGTGTTGGATGTGTCAGGCATCGGCATGTACGATCTTGGTGGTGAAGTACTGGATTTTATCAAGCGCGCTTCCGCATTCACCGGAGAACATTATCCAGAGCGGAGTGCTCACATTTTTATTATCAATATTCCCGGCTGGTTTAATATGATCTGGCGCATGGTAAAGCCAATGATTGATCCTGTCACCCGCGAAAAGGTATGACTGAATGGTGTTTTGCTCGAAAAAGGATTTTGAATGGAGTAATTTGATCTTCACAGGTTCACATGCTTAAGGGTAGCGCGATTCTGAAAGAACTAGAGACACTTATTGACTTAGAAAACATCCCTTCAGACTTTGGCGGCGAGAGTGTAGCGCTTGGAGACTCGGAAGAAGAACATGCGCTGGCTGCACACGTCAAAAAGTATCTAGGAGTACTAAATTTTACCTAAATACATTAATATGAACAACAATTCA